TCGTATTCATCCAGAGGCCCAGAGGAGGAGTATGGATGGATCAACCTACTTGCTAGCAAACATCACGGTACACAGGGATTTTTTTTAAAATTTTTTTTTTTTAATATTATTATTCTGCAGCCATCAACCTGCTGGTTATATAGCTGCTATCCATTCACCGGAAGTTTAGTGAACTTCAAATGGCGATCATTAATGGTCACTGAACTGCAGAATGCCCCAATGTGCTTTCAGATTTCATTTACCAAGGACCAGCAATCAGCCAAAAGATTTGCTCTGACAGCAGGGAAATACAAGACCCTTTGACAAGTTCAGCCGGGAATGTGCTGCCAGCATCCCTTGTTAAGTTCATGTTCTACCCTATTTGACGGAACAGATCATGCAAATTGTCCTTCTGCGGCCGCTCAGCCTGTCAATCATGCCTCCATTTAAAACAATAAATAAATAAAAGAACAAAAGAAAAGCCCACAAGTACAACGAGCTGTTTACAAGCAAATTCCACTTACCGAGACCCCTAATTATCAGGAAAAGGTGCAGAAACCCAAATAAAACATTAAATTGGATGGAGGAAGGGACTCTTACTCATCCAAAGGTTTAACCAGGAGGGCCACCCCAGTTTCTCTTGCGCACAGATCGCAGCTTTCCCCCTCACCCTGCTACTGCTTGCAACCACACTTGTTCTTTTCTTCCCGCTTCGATTTGTGGCTTATGGCATCGCCACATTTTGCTGTGCAGATGGAGCAGCTGTGCCAGGAGACCTTGTGGGTGCACAGCAGGCTGCTCTTTAACCACCCAGAGAAGGTGTGGAACACAAGGCACCAGACAGTAAAGTCCAAGGTATTTTGCTTTGCAAAGTGACCACGGGTTTTAGGAGGATGTGCTGCTGAGACAGCTCCCCCTCCTCACATCACAAAGGGAAATACTGATTTTTATTTGGGAATATTTCCACGTGTTTATCAACCAGAATTTGACCTGAAGGGAACCGAGCTCCTTATATGGCTGCAGAACAAAACCAAGTCAGCAACACTGGGGCCAATGCAACCTTCGCTGAAGAGGGGCCTCACAGTGTCCCACTATTATGCGGAGACACCGCACTGTGCCTGCCACAATGGGATTCTCCCCAGCTGCAGAACACATCCCATCAAGTACAGTAAGACTCTATTAGAGGAGATACAATAGGGAGCCGAAGGACTCGCTCAGCCCAGCTTCCAAGAAAATAACTCATTTCAATGCAAAACAGCAGTAGTTATTAGACACCTCCTTAAAGAGGAAAGGAGAAGGACAAGGGGAGGGGGGAGAGAGGGAGACGGGGACCATGGCAGTTTGCACAAAAGTACCTTTTTCAGATTAATCCACTGTTTGAAGTAATCAGCAACCGGCAGCCCTAAGTACTGGCATTGTCCTGGTAACCTGTAAGAGAGAAGAGAGAGCAGGTTTGATTCAATCAGTGTCCTGACAACACAAACTCTGTTTTCTTAAGTGCATTTCGTTCCGAGATGGAAGAGACCCTCAAATCTGCTGTAACATGCTGCACATCAGAAGAACTGTAGCTCTTGGCAAAAAAAATCTCACGAGAGCACAGCTTGGCTGTAGACTTATATACATCCAGCCACATCCAGGCTGCTGACACTTTTCCGATTGAGCATTTTGAACAGAAGCTGTGTGCAAGTGCAGCATATGGCTCTTCTCCACGGTGGCTAACACACACACAAGACTGGAGTGTCTGGGCTGTCCTTAGCTAAGCGAACTCATCATGAATCCCTGCAAAACCATCCTGCTCAGCCAGCGGCTTACAGGGCAGGCAGGACTGATAATTAACCTGCCATGGCCTGGTGCTTTGCCATTTGGCCTTTATGGTTAAAACACCAAATGAGACATGAGGGAGGGAAGGAGGCACCAATGCATTCATTTTTGGGATAGTAATGCTGCAGGACCAATGTTTTAGGGCTAAGAAAGCAGAGGCTGTTTTCAAGCAGGTGCTTGGAAGAAGGGAGCAGTCACAACTCTGAAGATGCACGGTGCCGCACACTATCTCACGACGGGTTTGAGCACCAGCGGCCAGAGCTGCGAGCACACGTATTTAACCTCTGCCTTCCTACAGCAAGAACAGCACCGCTAAGGGAGCTGGATTGCCTGAAGGGAGAGCAGGACCCCAGGATTTGGAAAGCTGTTTGTGTGGCCCCAGTGTGTTTGCAGGGGAGCGACAACGCGCCCCTCAGATGGGGAAAGCTGTGCGGCTCCAGCCAAGCCTGCGCAGGGAGATGAGTTATGTGAGTTTTCCCTGGCCGGTTTGATCTGATCAAGAGTAATTGATGGATCTTGTTCATTCACGTACTGCTGAGCATGCCTGGGGCACTGGTCACAGGATCTTTAACTGAAGCAAAGGAACATCCCAAATAAATATGTCAACTAAATAAATGACTAAATTAGAGCCGTTTGTGCATGTTAAAAGCCACAACCCCAGAAATCGGCTTTCACAAACAGAGGGGGGTGGGGAATCTCACAACTTCCTCGGGCACTTGCGGGCTGTAGGGAGAGGTTGTAGGGGAGGAGGGAAGAGCTGCAAGTGCCACCATCAGCTGCTCAAACATCCCAGCACAGACCACATCCAGGGCAAAGTCTTCTCCCGCTCTCCATAGAGGAAAGCGTTTTTTTAAGACTTCAGTCTAAAGGCTGAAATTCAGGAACAAGCTCTGGTCAGATGTGGATACAAGCCAGATACACCGCCTTGAGCCGGGGTGCACCATCAGCACCCCATGCACCATCTGAGTGCTTGGCTCAGCTCCAAACCCTCTGGTGAACAGGGCAGCATCTCTTCAGACCTACAAGCAGTTTCCCAAGTAAGGAGATGAAGGAGGGACACATAATGCGCTTGCAGATAATGTGAGACTCAGGGTAGTGCAGTACCAGAACGGTTTGGTCTTGGTGCTGCCTCCATTTCTATGAGAAGAAAAGGAAGGAAACTGGCAAACATATCCAGGGGAATCTCCCAGGAACATGTGGCCAATAGAGTAAGCCCCACCAGTGTACTGCCTTTGTGAGCCCTGCTTAGGCTAAGAAAGGAATAGACTCCCTGCGCCAAACCCAAACGCTTGGTCCTTAAAAGATGCACGTGTCATCATTTAGGAGCAACAATTTAAGTCATACAAACACATTTGGATAAGGAGGTCCAGAGGAATCTCTTTGAAAGCAGGAAGCCTGTCGAAAGAACGAGCTTGCAAGCAGCAGGGCTGCGGCGATTTGCAGGGTAAGCAATGTGACTTGACAGCACGGTCTCATCTCTGGGCACGGCTCATCTGATGCTAGCACCATCGCGCTGAAATAAACCACCTGGAGTCACTCCTCGCAATTGCATAGCCGTCACATAAATAGCAGCCTGGTCCATGCATTTTACAGCCATTACACACATGTCCATGACATCCCATAGTTGAACAGACCCCACCAGCCTCAACCAGCATGCTAAGAAAGCTCTTTCTCCAGGAAAGCTGCTTTCTACTGGTGCCCAAATCAAAAAAAGATCACAAGAAAAGGAACCATCTAAAAAAAAAATGACCGGTCTAAATACAGACATGTGATCAGCTCAGCCTCTCTTACTCTGCTCACATTTAGCTAGAGAGGATGATGACAGCAGTTAGCAAAAGTTATGTTACTAAAAGCTGACGTTCTCCTCCCAACCCAAGAGGTTTTTGTTAATACAGATCTCAGCCTAGCTCAGGTTAGAGGAATAATTATCAATTCACCTAACATTTGGATAGGGCCCAGAAGAAGCAAGTACAGCGTTGTTCTCGTTAGCCACAGGAATTGACAGCTAACCACCCAGTGCAATGAATGGCATCTAAAGCATTCCCATCCCTGTGGGACCAAAAGACCCAGCAAACTGGACAGTCTGGTTCTGCTTCCACCCCGAGACTGATGGCAGTATGCCCTGGGCGCTGGACAGTGGGTCTTTAATTGGAGAAAATAAATGCTCCAAATAAATATGTCAACTAAATAAATGACCCATTTTTGCAAACAAGTAACAACCCCAGAAACTGCCTGTGAAGCCGTGTGACCTCAGGACATTCCCCCTCCCCCTCTGTGCTTGTGCTCCCCTCATTTCACGTTAGCACCAGAGAGACTTCGCCAAGTTTTTCAAGCACCAGACCTATGCTCATGCTGTAATCTGGCCAGGCTGCCAGCAGCACGGACCAAAGCATCGGTTTACTCCCCGAGCTGGAAGACGCAGGCCTGGTAGCTCCAAGGCCAGCAGGGATGCAGCCACTCAACACGCTTGCCTTCAGCGAAGGATTGCCATAATGGTCTGGTCTAGTCTGGGTACGCAGCGCTCCCAGCACAGGGAACAGGGGGCTCTCACTGCACAATAACCAGTTCCCCAGGTAGCTATGGGGAGGAAATGTCTTTTCCCCAGCTCCAAGCTTGTCACCTGCAGCAGTCCCCCCACTCCTCAGCCCGGTGACCAGGCAGGAGTTTCACCAGCACTGTCTCCAGGTTGGAGCGAACAAGGTACATCTGTGGCTCTCCTGGGGAACAGAAGTGTCAGGGCCTGTAAGGAAGTAGATAATTTATCAGGGCCACCACTCACTTGAGCAGCTCATTTGGTAAACACGCTCTTATGCTCAGTACCGCTTCTTGCTCTTGCAAGAGTCAACCTTGCTCACTGGGGGCAGCTTTTATTGAGCAAAGAGCTTGGGATTCAGCCCTCCCTCAGGAAAGGGAGAGGAGAAATGATGGCACATTTCACTGCATTCAACATCCCACGGTCCTTCCAGCTTTTGAATGAGGTCTCGCTGCCTCCCCAAACACTGAAGCTCTCACTCCTTGGGAAGGAAGCTGGCTCTCAAAACCACCTTGTCAGCCAAACGTCGTAGCTTCAGGTATGACAGCACTTGACAGAGAGAGAAACTTGAAAATGGCTGTGGGAAATTCCAGCCTCTGATGCAGCTCTGGTAAAGTCTGTCTTCCCATAGCAGAGAAGGGAGCACACAACCTCCACCCACTCCCGAAATGCAGGTCCCCTTTGGGCAGAAGAGCAAGTGACATCAGGTAGCACAGTCTCCTCCACCAGCCAAGCGAGTCCAAGTCCTCCTTGGACCGTGATCAGCAGTGGCACCTCTGCACCATTTTCAGAGAGCTTTCATCACCTCAGGCTCTGACTTCCATCCAGCCCTGCTCCTTCACTCTGCAGGGTAAATGGGGCCTGGAGATGAAGGGGATGCAAATAGGAGGCGAGGTGACATGGCTGCATTTCTCCCGTTGAAGTCGGCTCTCTCCAAGGTGGCAAGAAGCGCACAGCTCGGCGGTGATAAACGGCCTTGCTTTAGTTATCACTTTCCTTAAGTTAAGGAGAGCAGCCTAGTGATGGATGGGCTGGAATTCGGTTATCAGGGAAGGCTGTCAGCCAGAGTTGCCTATCTCCACACACATTTAGCAGGGCGTCATTATGCGATGGCATGGAGTTAAAATATGACCAAGGGTATTGAAAGAAAAAGAACAGGATTAAAAAAAAAAAAAAAAGGCAAATTGAGCAACAATAAAGGAGCATGAGGCAAGAACGTTATCGTACTAGTGACACCTTTTATCTCGGTCTGGTTAGCTAGAGCAGGGCACAAATTGGTCCTTCCTCCACTATTGTATCCTCTTGTACAAACAGAGGCAGATAAAATGTGTCACCAGTGCGATAGCATATCAATTTAACCCTAATTATCTAGGGGGTCAAGCTAAGAAATAGGGGTTTCTCATTTCAACAGGTTCCTCCATCTCTGCTCGGAGCCACCACATTAATATGGAAGGGGGAGGGGCAGCCATAATTGATTTCCGTCACTCAGGTGGTCCTGGCATATAAAAAATTAATGCTTGATTCTCCCAACTAATCAGAGCTGGTTAACGTCCATCTGCTTCTGGGTTCAGGATGTCAGGAGACAAAGAAATTGGGCCACTTTCTACACACTGGGTGTATTGATATTGAGCCAGTTAAAAGAACAAGTCCCTCTATGGGGAAGATAAAGGGACGTTAAATCTTGTTTTTTATAGACCTGGTCTCAGCCTTCCAAAAAATCCATGCCCTGGAGACCTTGAGTTGTAAGAGATGCAGAACATTTTAATTGTGTCCTGGAAAAGCCTACTGCCCCGGGCTGCAAAGGAGAGGGCAGGCAGGCTCCTGCCCTGGAAGTCCTTCGCTGAAGGAGGGCTGGAGAGCCTCAACGAAGCTGCTTGGATGCAACAGCACACAACAGCAACAAGGTGGTAGCCAAAGAGAGGAGCTGTCAAACCATCTCAGCCTTGCACCCTAGTTCAAAGCAAAGCTGGTCCATGTGGTGCAGAGGTGATGCCCTGTTTTTGATGTAGGGTGGGATGTCTGCCAGGCCAAGAGGAAAGCTTGGGTGCCCTCTCCTAACAGAGAAAGCTAAGGC